TCACCACCCTCAACTTCATACTGCACACTGTTCACTTCACAGGACAAAATCCAACTTCCAACAACACAGCAGGTGACTCTCATCAGTTTCTCGTTAGAGCATAAGCTCCACAGGGACAAGTGGTATCTCCATTCAACTTGCAAATATACACCCAACAACAGACACTGCTTGTTGGGTATTAACATTTTCTTTTTATTCTGAACGATCCAACTTAGCATCAGCTCTAATTTAGGTATCTTTCTTTAGTAGCCATAAATTTTCATGTGAACCACAATACTGCTACAGGAAACTGTAGTAGTATATTTTCATGAAGAATAGTTGGTGACTCTTCTGGGCTAGTTTGCAAGAGCAAATTGTTACATTTGATATAAACTTAAGGAACACACATACACTTAAAGAATCTCAATACTGATTTCCATAGCAGGTGTTCTAATGTATATTTCCACCAAGAGTTTCTTAGAATCTTATTACAGACCTCAACCTCATCCTCACCAGCATCTGTTGCTTTACTAATGATAGAAATTCTGAGTTGGTTAAGCTGGAAACTCAATACAGCATTGCCTTGTGTTACCCTGATAACAAAGGATGCTGAATTATTTTCATGTATTTATTGGACAGTTGTACATTTTTAAAATTAAAATTTATCTTATGAGTATGAGTATCTGTGTACAAGCATGCCAAAGAGTGTGAACAGTCAGGGGACAACTTATAGGAGTTGGTTCTTTCCACCATGTGGGGTCATGGCAATTCCACTCAAGTTGTCAGGATTAGCAGCGGCACCTCATGAACTACCTCACAAGCCCTGTCCTTCATTTGCGAGCTGTCTAATTCATTTTCCCATTTGTCCTTTACTGTATTTTGAGACATACATGTATAAAATGTCATAAGGAAACCCATCATTTTATAAAATGAAAATATACACTAGTTAAAACATATATGTGTATACTCACATGTATGCATATATTTACACGTACATACATACACTCTCACACCCCAACAGGAATTAAACATGGAAACTCAAAGTCTGAAAAAATAGAAGAAAATAACAAATGTCAAAAATAGACTTTTCTTCCACCTTAAAAATTTAGAAACTTTAGGACCAGGATTAATAACCATTACATTACTATTGAATCTTTTTGGCCATCAAGAATATTTTCCCTAATAACAAAGTATTTCCTCTATAGCATATGCAAAGTTTTATATTTAACATATACACCAGGAAGAAGTGACTCTTAGAGGAAACAAGGCTTATTCTTTTTTTTTTTTTTTTTTTTTTTTTCCTTTTTTTGGATAGGACTAAGAAGGTACAGCTGATGCATCAAACTTTGTCATGTTGCCTTGAAAAACCAAGGGCAATGGCCAAGTGGGATTTAGTAGTTTATTTACCATGTATTATTTCTGTAAGTTTTACTTAGAAGTGCTCACAGTCTCTCTGTCTATGTCTATCACACAAAAGAGGGGTGGGGAGGGAGGCAGGCAGGCAGGCAAACATACAAAATACACATGCAGACAATTTAAGTTTGTATTGGGGATTTTCAAAGAGACAATAGAATTTAGGGCTAGAAAAAAATATAAAGGCAAAACCACATGAGAATTTTGTGGTAGAGGTTTAGAATAAGAAGGAAATTCAACTGGTAATATTGGAAGCATGCTATCCAACTGAGAGGTGCATGGGCAGGGGCTGGCAAGTCTGGGAAATGGAATTATGGGGAAAGCCACAGTAATAGGCTTGAGGGGGAGACAGGAAAATGTTTCCTGGATATGCTAGCTAAATAAAGAGAAACTGCCTAAAGTTTCCCCTAAATGTCAGGAATGCAAGTTACTTATTTCTCCACTGTATCTATTATGGAGCAGCAACTGGTATGGGTAGAAGCCATTCAGAAAACTTTTATAGGGAAGACCTGAACAAGAGGGGGTAGTTTGCTGACCATCAAAAACAATGGTTCACTAAACAAAGAAAAAAAATGCATTTACTCGAAATTTCAAGGGAAATACTGAAAATGCACATTTAAGTATATGATTACTACTCAGTAACTTCTATTCCAAGAGCGTGATCAATTTCAAGGACCCCTGCTTTCAGAAAGTGTATTATCAGATAACAGATGAGTGGAGATAATAGTGCAAGACAGTGAGAGGTTAAGAAATTAGCCATGAAATCCCAGAAGAACACAAAGCTGAGCTTGCAGAAACTAAACCCAAGGAAAAGACAGTTACTAAGACTAATATATTCTCAATTGTATGTATATATGCAATTATTATTAATAATTGAATGAGCACATTATAAATACTTTTATGGGCAGAGTGGTGGAGGCACACTATTAATAAGATACCAATTATAGTCACCAGGAAGGAACTGTTACTTGAACTTCTATCAGAGGCTCTGCCAGACAGACCCACCACTGTATGTGCTCCAGAGAAGGGAAGAAGCAACAAACCCCCAGATTCAGGATTCCCCAGGGTTCCATTGAGTGACCACACAGGGTTCTTCCTATCCTTTGCACAATGAAAAAACTAAAGATGGGAGGAATGCCAAGGACTAGGAATGAAAGAATTATTAAGCATCCCTCTTTTGTGAGGAACAGGTTTAAGATAATGTATTATCAGTGGGAGAGAGAAGGAACTGGGATTGCTATGTAAAATAAGATTGTTTCCAATTTAAATAAAAATATGTAAAAGTTAATATACTATCTATGTAATCTCTCAACGATAGATACACAGACAGGACCAAAGAGGAGGCAAAAAGTTAGTTGGGGGAAGATCTTCAACAATGGCTGGAACACATTTACTAGTGGGTTCTAGTAAAGGGCTAGTTTAGTTTAAAAATAGAATGCATTTTACTCAGAGGCTTTTTCCTTTTTAAACATCACTTTTCAGAAAGTTCCCTATCCTAAAGACTGCTAACTCAAATAAAGGAAAATGAGTCATGTAGGGAAACCATAGTTATGTTTTGAGGGATTTAAAAAGCATATTTTCATGAGGCCTGAAAAGTTCGCCTCTAACAAACTGGTTGTGCCTTATGAATAACCCGGGAGAATTCAAGGACCCTAAACAAGTACACAGCAGATAACTTAAAAATACAAAAATATAGAGAATGTGGTACATTTACACAATGGAATACTACTAAGCAGAAAAAAAGAAAAAAATGGAATCTTGAAATTCGAAGGCAAATGAATGGAACTAGAAGAAACCATCCTGTGTGAGGGAACCCAGTCACAAAATGACAAACAAGATATGTACTCACTCAATATGGATTTTAGACATAGAATAAAGCATCACCAGCTAACAATTCACACCAACAGAAAAGGTAGGAAACCAGGAGGACCCTAAGAGAGACAAACATGGTCCCCTAGAGAAGGAGAAAGGGACAAAATCCCCTGAGCAAATTAGGATCATGGAGGGGAGAGGGAGTTAGGAGAAAGCGAAGAGGAGGGAAGAGGAGGACATGAGGGAACAGGAAGATTGAGTCAGGGGAAGAATAGAGGAGAGGAAGAAAAGAGATACTATAATAGAGAGAGCCATTATAGGTTTAAAGAGAAATCTGGCACTAGTGAAATGTCCAGGGATCTACAAGGATGACCCCAACTAACAATCCAAGCAATAGTGAAGAGGCTTCCTTTAATGCCCTTCCCTGATAATGCCATCCCAGAGCCTTCATCTAGTAGCTGATGGAAGCAGAAGCAGACACCCACAGCTAAACACTAGACAAACTCCTGAAATCTAGTTGCAGTGAGGGAGGAGTGATGAGAAAAGGGGTCAAGACCACAGAAACAGCTGACCTGAACAAGGGGAAGCTCATAAATTCCAATCCGATAGCTGGAAAACCAGCATAGGACTGACCCAGACTCCCTGAATATGGTGTTAGTTGGGAGGACTGGGCAGTCTATGAGGCCTCTGATTAAAATCAGTATTTATCCCCAGTATATGAATGGACTTCGGGAACCCTTTCCACATAGAGGGATAGTCTCTCAGCCTAGACACATGGAGGAGGGCCTAGACCCTGCTCCAAATGATATGACAGACTTTGAAAGGCCTCACTCTTTCTGGGGAGGAGAAAGAAGAAGGGATGGGGGTAGGGGTGGGGCAGGAGAGAAGGGGAGGGAGAGGGAACTGGGATTGACATGTAAAACAAGTTTGTTTCAAATTTAAATAAATGCTGAAAGAAAAAAAATACAAAAATATCAATTCCAAGATCGACTGCGTAGTCTTCTGGGAAGCCCGCTTTGCTACTCCGCATCCCTAAGCAGCAACAGTGTCACTGCCCCAGGGTTAAAAACTGTAAAAATCCTTGCTGGGCGAGATCCTGCAAAGACCCTGAGGAGGTATGGGGCCTGGCACGCCCGGATGACCAGCAGGGCTTCCTTTCCCACAGCCCGATCCGAGCAGCCACGCCGACCACGCAGTTTTTGTGTTGCTCGGAGCTGTCCAACCCGGCCCGGCCTTCAGCGCCGCCTCCCCTGCATGCCCGGAGCCCCGGGATCGACCCCGGTGTCCAGGACGGCGATGAGCACCCCGCGCCCGTCATACTCCGGGTAGCGGCACAGGAAGGAGGCGGCCCCGGTCTCTTTCTTCGGCAGAAGACCGTGGAAAGGGAAGGGCTCCTCAGTGGCGGCGGTGGCCATGGACCCGAGCTGGAGGACGAAGGAGGAAGAGGCAAACTGCCAGAACGCTCGCAGACCGGCAGCGCGAGGACACCGGGCCGCCGCGGGCCGGAGGCGGGCAGAGGGCGGTGCCAGGCCGGCAGCACCCAATCGCATGCGGCCAGAGATGCCCAGCCAATCACATGTTGCAACGTAAGCAAACGGCGCCCCTACGAGGCGCTAGATAGGAGAGTTGCTCGGGCTGCTGCGCAGGGGAGGAGTCTGCGCTGCTGCTGAGAGCTCTGTGCTGGAGCCAGGTTCTTAAAGGGTCTGTGCTGGGGTGCGAAGGCACCGACTTTCTTCCGAGCTGTCGCTGTCAGTGAGAAGCCTTGGGAGGAACAGGCCGCCCGCCCGAGCCGCGGGATGCCCGCCATGCGGTTGTCGTCTTCCATCGCTGTGGCCCGAAGCCCTGTAAAGTCAGGTTCAGCGGTTTCAGGTGGAGTGGGGGAGAGGCAGCCGTTCAGTCAACAGGAAGAGGGTTGTGGGCTATTCTGTCCCCAGTGTTCTTGAAACAAAGCACGGGACCGAAATGACCCCCCCCCCCCCCCGCCGCCCTTCTTCATGGCCTACTCTTGGCGGCCAGGATTCCAGAAAATATCAGCTATCAGCCTGCTTTTCTCCTTCAGGCTCAACACTGTTATCGAGCCATAGCTTGCATTTTTTTTTTTTTTTCCCTTCTCATTAGGATGTCCAGTGATGGTGACCAACTTCTGCGTTCTGTGATTCCTACATGAGCTTGTTGTGTCTATACCTCCCAGAGTAATCTTAATTGACCCCGTTGACAGTCTTGAGACCCTCTCACAGGGATGTTTTTATGTGCCTAAGATGAAACCTATGGACTATACAGGAAGGAAAACGTTGAAATAGTTATAAAAACCCAGTTTTTGTTGATAGCTTCACATGTACATAATTATGTATGTACTTTGCTTTGCATTAAGTAGCAAGAACCAGTGTCAAGCCCAATAAATAAAGTATGAAAAATAAAGGCTACCGTTATTTCTAAATAGGGAAGTCAAGTATAAATGACATTTGAATACATCCAAACTACACAGATCGGTTTAACTGGTAACAAGGTAGCAGTGTGTAGTTGTTGCCTACACTCATAATTAAAAAGAAATAATTTCAGAGGTGAAAATATGTTTTTCCTATGCAACATGGGACCTTTGCAATTTTATTGACTCCAGTTTAAGAGGCAAACGTATGGAATACCTTATAGGCCATTTTTTTTTCAAACCTCAGCACTCCCAGTGACTCCTGGAACTTTGCTCTAGTGTCTGCGGTGATTATTGCTGATTCCCTCAGTTTTCATTCTGTAAGGGAAGAAGAAGAGTGTGTCCTTGGTGCTGAGGGATAAGCGTCAAGAATGTTACCATTCTTCCCAACTGTGACTCATTACCTTTAGGACAGAAATGGAAAACACTTTAAGCTGGGCGTTGGTGGCCTATGCCTTTAGTCCCAGCACTCGGGAGGCAGAGGCAGGTGGATCTCTGTGAGTCTGTGAGTTTGAGACCAGCCTGATATACAAGAGAGAGTTCCAGGAGTCACAGGGAAACCCTGTCTTGAAAAACCAACCAAACAAACAAACAAAAAAAACCTTACGTATATAAAAGGAAAGATAATGTCAAACTTAATTGCATGTTTTTTGTCTTCCACTATTTCTTTAAAAGAAAAATTAAGTACCCCTTTCAACAGTATTAGGTGACATCTGGTGATCTGGTGCTTTATCAGAGTCTAGGAGATTTAAAGGCTATTATTTCTGGTATACTTAATGTTTAAGCATCCTTCATATCACTTATTTCTATATAGCCAGCTGAATTCCCAAAATCCTGTATTCACAAAATAGTCAAACACTGAAAGTCAGCCACTCCATGTCACTTATTTTGCAATTAGATTTTCATTCTATACAGAATGATTTACATTTTTTGAAGATGTGACTTCCATTATAAATACATCACAATAAAATATCTCTTACAACTACATAAGATAATAAAATGTATTATAATTTTAAAGAATTTCTTGGAATCAAGATGTTATTTTTTCTTTTGGGTTGCTATAATTACAAAGTTGGTGAAAGCAATATGAATAAATCTTCAGTTTAAAAATGAGGAAAAAGGAGGGGATGAGGAGGGACATGAGAAAAGATGAGGAAGCTTTTACAAAGATGCGTGGCATGTATAAGCCAAACTTCCATTAGTGACCAGCTGCTGGAATTAATAAGGATAAGTTTATAGTGTGTATATATGTCTGTTGTAAAACCAGAGCAATCGGCTGCTACTAAGTGTTTCATAACTGTATTATATAATGCAGTTATATAACTCAAAGGTAACACAAACAACATCTAAGAGCATCACTCTCCCATTATTTTAACCACCCATGACAAATGTCAACTTTTTCTTTAACCTGTGCCTAAGGTAGATTTAGTGAAATGGTGAAAATTAAATACAAATCTTAACAAAGCCCTACATGCTGCTGTGCTTTCCTGACCATCCCCCAGCACTTGCTCCCCATAGAACAGTATGGGGTATGTTTGAAAGACTAACATTTAAATAATGTGGTCCCTGGTTGTGTCACCTGCAGTCCTAGCTCCTAGAAGGCAGAAACAAAAGTATTTTGAGCTGGAGGCCAGCCTGGGCTATCCAACCAGACTCTCTCTCTCTCTCTCTCTCTCTCTCTCTCTCTCTCTCTCTCTCTCTCTCTGTGTGTGTGTGTGTGTGAGAGAGAGAGAGAGAGAGAGAGAGAGAGAGAGAGAGAGAGAGAATATTATTGATTTAAAATTGTTCCCGTGGTACAGGACATTGAACTTTGATTTTTAAATTTTACAGTATTCAGTTTGTTCATTTTGTATTCGTTCAAGTCTACTACACATGTAGGTAATAAAAAGCAACATTCAGGATATATGGCACCCCAACATAAAAAGTGGGAGCTCCAGGCATGAAATAGGAGGTGTCCTTCCACCATAGGCACACTGTCAGGAAGTTAAGTTTAGAAAGTGTTCCAGATGTGAAGCATCTGGAAATTGTGTTAAAACAACCTGTGACTTTGTGCTATAGTCTGAAGACTTTTTTAATGGAATACTGAAACCACTTTAACTCAACTTAAAACTGTTTTATCTTTCTTTTCAAGGCATAGTATTGCACATTTACACATGTTTATTTTTTCTTCCTTTGACACAATGGTATTCCTAGATAGAGGGATATTTTTTTTTAATTTCTTAAGTGTTGAGTTAGTTTGTGCTACTTGACAACTTGACCATTGGGTAAAGAAAGGAAATAAGTAGAGGGTACTTTGAGTGGGGGAAACAATGAAAATATAGGTAAACAAAAGAAAGCTTAGATGTGAGAGAAGAGGAAGAGGAGGATATGTCAAACAGGTCATTAAACCAAAGCATCTGTCTCCCTATGTAAGGTTAAGTAAAAGGCTGGATGCCCAGAAATTCCCAGGAGGGATTGTTTTAAAGCAGCAAGTGCTGAGTCAGATGTAATGTGCCTTCTCTAAACACATGCCCCATATGAGAATGCAAGCTCGTTGCAATGCAGTATTACTGCACCTTATAATTTACAAAACACTTTTGTAAATCTGATTAAGATTTCCTCAAATAGGCAGGGACAAAGCATCTAACAAACCCTAACCCTACAGGCCTTAAAGCACTCCACAGCATTTGCTGCAAGGCCAGACCTTCCTGTGGATGGCTCACAGCCAATGACTGACTGCAGTAGAGATCTCAAGAAGACTGGTTCCTTGGAGATGAGGAATTTCTTTGACTCTCCAAAATCTTTGTCAAGTATTGCTTAGAAAGCCTGATAACCTAAGATACAACAGCTCAACATTCTTTCCCTGTGGACTCAAAGTCACAGGTACAGCACAGCCTGATGCTTCTGTCAGAGGAGTGGATGTGATTTTAGACAGCACAATACTTCACTCCGTAGAATCTTGCATATTTGATTCCTTCTTGACATTCTGAGAACCAGACTGAAATACTATACATAAAATTTATATGAACTTCTATATAATATGCAGTGAATTTACATATATCAAGTATGTATGTAACTCAGAAATCTACTAATATGGAAATGAAAGCTTCACAGTTTTATTTATCTTCCAAATCTCAGGACAGTCTGGAAGCTTGTAGTAGAACCTCTAGTGTTGGTTGCTACAGGTATCGAGGAGATTCATTCATTCTCTCTAGAATGCAATTCAGACATTCTCATTTTCAGTGGATGTGATGATGTAAACCCTAAGAGGGAAATCTATTTTGAAGGAATGTAATAACATGCATTTTAATTGTTCCCTCCTTAAGTGGCAAACCAAAGCCAGATAGAAAAATTGATACAGATATTGTAACTTAAAAATATATCACTTAAAAACCTGTGGAGAAAAATAGCTTATACTAAGTTCTCCCTCTTCAAAAGCTTTAGGAGATGTAGTAAGAAGTAGAATTCCTCAGGCTAACACTAACTGTTGCAGGAGAATCAATCCTGAAAACCATACTCTCCTCCCCATGCCTATTCAAGTTCACTAATTACCTTAAAATCTGAACATTTTCACTTTCAATGGTCTACAGTTACACCATCCACATATGTCACTGTTTTAACGTGTACAAAGGAGAGCCATGTATGAGCCTGCCAGCTCTCTGCAGTCTTATGTTTGTCAAAGAAGCCATATGGGTCATCAGATGACTTGATTCAGATCTCTTTATAGCCATTCACTTTAAATGTTTAATTCTATATAGGATGTGCTAGGCTGAAGAATTGTAGCCTTGGCATAGATACAAGATATACATGTTGAAATGAGGCTAGGTTTATTTATGTCTGTGTCCATCTCTGAGTATGTGTATTTGTGTGTGTGTGTGCTTGTGTGTGTGTGTGTGTGTGTGTGCTTGTGTGTGTGTGTGTGTGTGGTAAGGTACTATCCTCTTGAACAAACTGCCATCATCTGTATGGGATTAGCAGTGACTGCTTTTGAGAGTCATTCAGGCTAGTGTACTGTTGACATTCCCTTTAAGAAAGAGGGTGCCAGACCACCAGTAATCTGGTCCCCCCCAGACAGCTGTATGAAATATTATTATAATTAAACGTGATCTCAGAGTATCATAGAGGTATTATGTACATTGATTTAGGAATGACTGGAGAAGGGGGTTCTATCTATGTGGCTGTGGGAAAGTCATCATCCATGATAAATGAAGATTTTCCAGTGTAGCTGCTTTGAAGTTGTCCATGCTTATAACCTCTCATCCATGCTGTTTGTAAACCCAGTAAATTCATTAGTTCTTCTGGGGGGACTATGGTGAAATATTTTGGATTGTTATCATATCTTAAGAGGAAGGGGTAGATGTTATTCATTTTCACTTCTGGTAATACATTTGTGTGTGTGTGTGTGTGTGTGTGTGTGTGTGTGAGAGAGAGAGAGAGAGAGAGAG